GGACCAGGGGTGTGGGGTGTGAGCACTGACCCCCCCCCCCAGGCTCTGACTGTTCCCATCCCTTCCTCCCGCAGGAACAGCCTCCATCGTCATCCCCATTCTGCTGCTCCTCATCCTCCTCACCGTGGTGGCTTTTGTCTGGTACAAGTGGAGAATTAAAGGGTGAGTCGGGGCGGGGCAGGAGCCCTCGGTGCCAGCTGTGAAAGCCTCGAGGGCGCAGCACAGCTGCGGGGGTGTCACTGGCACTGACCCTCTGTGTCCCCACGCCCAGTGCCAAGGGCTTCCAGCACCAGCGGATGACCAACGGTGCCATGAACGTGGAGATCGGGAATCCCACCTACAAGATGTACGAGGGGGAGCCCGACGACGACGTGGGGGAGCTGCTGGACGCCGACTTCGCCCTGGACCCCGACAAGGTGAGGGGCTGTCGGCTGCTCGGGCTCCAGCGTGAGGTGGGGGGTGCTGGGAGGGGGGACACGTTGCTGTGGCAGTCAGGACCCTCTGTGCAGGGGGGCTCTGAGGGGTTGAAAAAGCTTTGGGGCTGGGGGGATTCTGAGGGATCACAAGGCTTTGGGCCTGGGGGGGTGGTGTCTCTGAGGGGTCTCGAAGGCTTTGGGGCTGGAGGCTGTGGGGGGAGGGACAGCAGCACCACAGGCCCAGCGGGGACCTGGAGGAGGTCATGGCTGGTGGGGGCTCTCACAGGGGCACCCCTGGGGGCGGCAGTTCTGGGCAGGGGGAGGTGTCCATGCCCACTCCCACCCGCTCCCCCTCTCCACAGCCCACCAACTTCACCAACCCCGTGTATGCCACGCTCTACATGGGCGCCCACAACAGCCGCAACTCCCTGGCCAGCACGGACGAGAAGCGGGAGCTGCTGGCGCTGGGGACGATGACCTGGCGGACCCCCTGGCATAGGGGCCGGCCGGGGGGCGAGGGGCTGCGGGCCCAGCACAGCCCCCGCCACAGGGGCGGGCGGGGGGCCGGAGGGGCCACGAGCCGCTGTATAAATGTACAAATGAAGGATTATTACTTTTCTATGTGAGCAGTATTATTACCTGTATATTCCCCGGTCCCAGGCCTCGGCGTCTTCATTGCCAGACCCGGCTTTGGTTTATTTTAAATCTCTTTACATTGGGCCCCCACTCTCCCCTCCCCTCCCCTCCCTCCCCTCTCCTCCCCTTTCTGCCCCCTCCCACCCCCGGGACAGGCTGGCATGTCGGGGTATGGGGGTGAACACCCCGGGGCCGGGGCTGATGGGACACGCGGGGTCACTGCTATGGGGGGGCTCGAGGGGGGCGGCAGAGCAGGGGCCACACGCTCTCCCAGCCCCCAGCCCCGGCAGCTCCCTCTCTGGGGACCCCGTTTCCTTCCCCCCAATCTGCTGCTCCCCGGGTTCCCCCTTCTCCTGCAGCTCGGCCTCTGCGACCCGCCCTTGGCTCCCCATTCCCTTCCCTCCCTCCTCCTTCCCTCCCTCTTTCCTTCCCTGTTCCCCCTCCTCCTTCCCCACCTTTCCCCTACCCGTTACCCCCTCCCTCTCCCCCGTTCTCTGCCCGACTGTTACAGGGGCCAGGACGAAGCCCCCAGCCCCGCTGTGGTGGGGGGGGTCCCAGCCCCATGGCCCCCACTCCGGCCTCTCGCCTGCCCCTGGCCCACTCTCCCACATGCACATTTTTTAACAGGAAAAAGAGGAAAAAAAAAGACCACAAAACCCCCCTGGAGATGACCTAGCTTTTATAGTAGAAATAAATAAACGCATGGGGGGGGGCGGGGAGGGACCCCATCCTTTTACTGGGGGGAAATGTTTTAATAATTTTTGCTGGATTACTTTACAACTAAACAAAACAGATATTGTTATAAATAAAATTTTTAAAAACTGAAGCGCAGGCTGATGGTTGGGGAGGGCTGGGCGGGAGGAGGAGTGGGAGGCAGCTTTGGGGGAGCCAGGGCACGGGGGGGTGTCGTGGCCATGATGTCCTCAAAGCCCAGTGGTGCCAGTTCTGGCCCTGGGGAGTGAGGAGGGGGCTCGGGGGTTATGGGCGGCGAGGAGGAGGAGGGTCGGGAGGGGGAGCATTGAGGGAGGGGGTCGAGTGGTCACGGGGAGGGGGTCACAGGGAGGTGCTGTAGGGGAGGAGGTTCCCACCAGGACCTTTTATTCCATCGTGTGGCACAGGGGGAGGTCAGGGGGAGGGGGCATAGGGTGGTCCGAGCACGGGCACTGAGCGCCAGGACTGTCACTGGGCACCGGGACTGTCACCGGGCACCGGAACTGTCACCGGGCACCAGGACTGTCACCGGGCACCGGACCGGGACTGTCACCGGGCACCGGGACTGTCGCCAGGCACCAGGACTGTCACCGGGCACCGGAACTGTCACCGGGCACCGGCGGCGCGCGCAGTACCAGAAGCCGCCACCAGGTGGAGACACCGCTCTCGAGAACGCGCATCCCCGAGAGCCCCCCGCGTGTCCCCCCCACGTCCCCCCGTGTGTCTCTCTCTCTCTCCCACGTCCCACCCTGTCCCCCTGTGTGTGCCCCTCTCTCCCACGTCCCACCCTGTGCCCCCCGTTTATCCCCACCCGTGGGTCCACCCCTGTATCTCCCTCATCCTTTTCCAGTGTATGTGTCCTTCCCGTGTGCCCCCTCGTGCCCCCCGTGTGCCCCCCCGTCCGTGTCCCCCCGTGGGGCGGGCAGGAGTGCGGGACCATCCTGTCCTGTGTGTCTGCACAGGTGGTCAGGGCAGCAGCAGGGGCTGTGGGCAGGGGGCTGCGTTGGGAAGCCCCCTCACCCCAAGGGCAGCAGTGGGAAGCAGAGGGCAGGATGGGTGGGCAGGGGGTCGTGGCTGCCCCGGGGGGCTCGTGCTGTGCTGGTAGGGGGCTCGTGCTGGGCCTCACTTGTGGCACTGAACCCTCAGGGCATCGAACCCTCATGTCCATCGCCCCGGCCTTGCCGCATGCCAGGCAGGTGTGAGGGGCCCCGGGGCAGGTCCTGGACCCCCCTGGCTAGTGGCTCAGCAGAGCAGGTCGCCCCTCACCCCCTCCTCCATCATCACCAGCCTCGGCACAGCCCCCACCCCCCGCAGCCGCTGCCTTTGAACCCCCCCAACCCCGCACCGGGCGCCGGCGGCCTCAGATCTATTTCAATACCGGCTCTTTGTTCACTTATCGGTTCTTAAATCTCCTCCCAAGGTTTTTCCTCCCTTTCCCCTCTCCCCCCCCCCAACCCTTTTTATCTTTTTCCTTCAATATTTTCTATTTTTCACCCCTTCCCCCATTCATTCCCCCCCACCTTCCCTTCCCTCCCCCCCTCAGGCCTATGGGCTGTTAAGGCAGGGAGGGGGGGGTCTCTTCCAGAGCCCCCCAACCTCTCGCAGACCCCGCTGTCTCTGCTCCCCAGTGAGGCCATCAGGGACACAGGGACCCCAGCAGGGAGTTTCTGTGGTGATGTGGGGGGAGGTCCCGAGGGGTCTGGGTGCCCCTGCAGCCCCCCCAGGCTTCTGTGGAGTGAACGTGGCATTGGGGGGGAACAGTGCCAGGGTCCCTGGGGGGTCCTGTGGGAGAGGGGCAGTGGCAGGTGGGGGGACAGAGAAGAGCAGGGGGCTGTGGGGCTGGCAGTGGGTCTCACCCTCACCAGCAGCGCTGGCACTGGGGCAGCAGCAAGAGGGGGGCTGGAGGGACCACCCTGGAGTCGGGGGGCTCCCCTGAACCCCAGCTGCAGATCTTGGGCACAGGGTGCAATGTACCCACATGCCCAGGGCCACCATGGGGCTGGCGTGGGGCTGGCTGGGACCCCCCAACACCAGGGCCCCTGGACCCTGCGCTCCTCTCTCCTCTGCTCTCTCCTCCCTCTCCCGCTTCTCCCATCTCCCTCATTCCTCACCCTCTCCCTTCCCTTTTCCCATTTCTCCCTTATCTTTGATCATTCTGTCTCCACATGTCCAGGCAGTTCTGCAGTGCCCCCTGCGTACCCTCAGCCCCCTCCCGTGTGCCCTCAGCCCCCCGTGTGCCCCCAGCCCCCGTGCCCCTGGCCCTGCCAATGCCAAGCCCCCGCCGGCAGCTTCCCAGGATAATCACAGTAAACCCCACAATAATGAGGATAAACTAAGGGGTGGAGAGGGGGCTCTGGTGGCGGGGGGGGGAGGTGTGAAAACCCTGGGGGGGACGGGTGAGAACCGCTGGGAGAGGGGCCCAGCATGGGGATGAGCACACGCGTGTCCATGTGTGCACACGTGTGTCCGTGCAGGTGACGCAGGTGGCATGTCCAGCCTGACACGGGTGGGGGTGCAAGGCAAGGGGACCCCTCCTCGGGGTGCGGCAGGGCCTGGAGTGCCCCCCAGGGGCTCTCCGTAGGGTGGTCCCCCCTCCTCTGCTGGAATCTTGGGGGGGCTCAGCGGTGGGGGGCCCCAGGAGGGCAGGACCGGGTGTCCCCCTGCGGTGCCAGCACGTTTTCCAGGGCACAGCAGAGCCGGGGGCACCTCGGGGTGCAGGATCTCCGGTGGAGAGGGAACAGGGGGCAGGACCCGGGGTGCGCAGGGAGACGGGAGCAAGATTTGGGTGTCTCAGGACCGGGGGCAGTCGGGGGTACACACCGGGGGTCTCCTGGGATGGGGGCAGGGCCGGCGGTCTCCTGGGGTGCGGGGTCTCCCTGGACAATGTCGGGGTGCGGGGTCTCCGGGAGACGAGGCGATAGGAGCGGGGACACCCCGGGGAAGAGGGCGGCAGGATCGGAGGCATCCCGGGCTGCGGGGGAAGGCGGGGGTAGGACCGGGGGACACCCTGCGATGCGGGGGAAGAGGGGGCGAAGGACCCCGCGAGGTGCGGGGCTCTCCCCGCGCCCCCCGCCCCGGTGCGTGGCGGAGCCGCCGGTTCGCGCGGGGCCGGTGCGGGTCCCGGCGCCCCCGGAGCCGCCCCCGGTGCCCCCCCGCCGGCCGGGATTGGCGGGGCCGCCGAGGCGCCGCCTGGCCCCGCAAGTCTCCAACTTTCTTCCCGCCGCCCCTCAACCACCGCCGCCGCCGCCGCCGCTCCCGGAGCCCCGCGATGCTCCGCCGCCGCCTGCCCCTGCTCGGGCCCGGGCTGCTGCTGCTGCAGGTACGGGGGCCGGGACCCCCGCCCGCCACGGCCGCCACCGACGCGGGGGAAGGGGGTGCGCGGTTACCGGGGAGGGGCGATTACCGGGGAGGGGGCAGCTCCGTGAGGGGGCTCGTGCAGTTATTGGGAGGGTGGGACAAATCCGGAGGGATGGGGGTGCTGTTGCCCTGGGGAGTCGTGCAATATTTGGGGGGTCGGTCCTGGGGAGGGTCGTGCAGTGGGGGGTGCGGCTCGGGGGTGTCGTGCACTGGGGGCTCCGGCAGTCACGGAGAGAGCGGAGGGCTGGGGGCTTGTGCGATCCTGGGGGGGTCGTGCAGTCACTGGGGAGCGGTTTGGAGGGGGCGAGAGAATGAGAGAGTTGGGGGGGCCGGACAGGGGTTGCATATGGGGAGTCCTGCGCCCCCCAAGTTGGGAGGGTCCCGGGGCTGTCCCGGGGCGCCGCGCCCAGACCTCGGGCGGAGTTGGGGGCCGAGGGGAAATCCTGGGGGGGTCCCACCGCCGGTGAAGCCCCTCTAGTCCTCCCCCCGTTGCAGAGCGCGGGAGGCGCCGTCTGGCAGGTGCGGGGGGGGCAGCGAGACGGAGCCGCTCGTGAACGTGGGGGCGGCCACGCGTGGGTGGGTCGGACCCTCTGCCGGGGGGGCTCCGCGGGAGGGGAGAGGGTGCCCTTGTCCCGCACCTGGAGGGGGCAGGAGGGTAAACCCCCCACGGTGGCTCGGGGGTCCCCACGCAGGGCTGGGGGGGGCACGGCCGTTCCCCGGCTCCGCCAAGGGCGTGAGCCCCGAAACCACCTGCAGAGGCGACGCCTCATCCCTGTCCCGACTCGGTGCAGGCTCAGCCTCGACACGGGGGGGGCTCAGCCCTTCCAGGGGGGCTTCTCCCACCAGCCACATCCCCATCCCAGCGGGCGCCCCCCAGCTGTAGGGTGGGCTCACGGGGCCTCGAACCTGGGACAGGCCGGGGGGGGGGCTTTGCCTGTTCCCCCCCTTTGCCTGCCTGTGGAGGCTGAGGAGCAGCTGCAGCCGCAGAGACCCCCCCACCCGCAGAGCCCCCCCCGCAAAGTCCCCCAGTCCCAGATCCTAAAAGCTTCCCAAGGCCACTCACCCCCTCGTGTCCCCCCTCTGCCACCTCCTCTTGAAGCCCCTCGGGGGGCTACGGCTGCATCCGACGCCAGCGCCGTGGTGGTCAGGAGGGGGGGATGGAGCCCCCCCAGCCCAGCCGGGGGGGCCAGGCTCATCACCCAGCAGATCTGATTTCCTGACACTCCATTTTTACTTTCTGTGTTTCATGAATAAAATCAAACGAGTCAATTCCCTCTCGGGAATTGGATGCACATCAGGGACCCCCCACCCCCGCCCGCCCCCGCACCACCCGACCCCCCCCAGGCAAAGGCTCCTGCAACTCGTCTCTCCCTGGCACGCTGCTCCCTGCGTGGGGAGGGGGGAAAACCGGTGCCCGTGTGTGGGGGTGGCTCTGCGTGACCCCCCCTCCCCGTGTCCATCCATCGCAGAGCATCTGTCGGTGCTGGAGCCGCTTCAAGACAAATGGGTTTGTTTTGATGAAATCCGGAGCAGGGCGCTGCCCTGGCCCCCCCCACGCCCATGCAGGCGCCGGGGCTGGGGTGGGTGCAGGGGGGCTCAAAGCCGAGGAGGGGGCACGGGCACGGCCTGGGGCAAGGGGTGGGCACGTGGGCACGGGAGGCTCCAGCCTGGGGATAACCCTGGGAGATACCCTGAGCCCCAGCCCCGCTGTGGTGGGGGGTCCAGGACACCCCTCCCGGTGCTTCTTGGGCTCCCTGACATGGAGGGGCCAGGGGCTGCCCACCCGTGGGGCCACCGGGTGCCAGGGAGGGGGAACAGAGCTTTTCCTGCCCCCTCAGCCCTTTGGGCCTGTTGGGAAGGAACTTTCCAGGCCTCTTTTGGGGGTCAAGAGGCAGCTGGGTGTGGTGGGGGTCCCACCGGCTCCCTCCAGCCCTGGTGGGTGCCTTGGCCTGGGGCTCCCGGTGCCGCATCCCACCAGGACCGTGGTGGGAGCACAGGGGGAAGAGGCAGGTGGGGGCAGGTGGGGCTGCACCCCCTGGGGCAGCAGCGAGAGCCTCATCCCTGTGGCGGGAGGGAGGGACCCCCAGCATGAGGGACCCCCGGGGTGTCCCCCCCGTGGTGTGTGCTGGGTGACACTGGTGTTTGTGGGATCCCTGCTGGGATGGACAAGCCCTCCCAGCCCAGTGGGTGCCTGTTCCCACCATGGGAGTGCAGACCACCCTCCTGGCCCACCCAGCACCCCACCCTTCATGGCTGCGGGTGCCCAGGATTTGCTGGGCTGGCAGTGCTGGGGCAGGTGAGGGGATGAGCCCACCTCTGCCTGCAGGAGACCCCCCTTCCTCAGCCTCTCCCAGGTTCCTGCGTTATTTTTATGCATTCCATTATTTGCTGTGCACTGAGCATTACATTGTGGGGTCCTTCTGGGGGGGACCTGGCCTGGCTCTCTACCACCACGGGTCCTGGCCAGCCCCCTGCGTGGACCCAGGACTGCTGGCTGGGCCTGATGGCCTTGGGCTGAGAAAGAGCAATTCCACCTTCATCCCCCTGGCCTTCCCGGGAGGCAGATGCCATTCCTGGGGTCCCTGATGCTGCTGTGACAGTGTGACCCCCACCCAGTGCCAAGCAAGAGCCAGCAGTGGAGGGGACGGGTGATGCTGGCCCTGGAGCAGGCAGGAGCAGGCACTGCTGGCTTGGGGTGGCTGGGTTCTGCAGCAGGGCCAGGGCTGGGACGCCGCTGTCTTTCCTCACCCTGCTCCATCCCCAGCGCCTTTGCCGGAACATTCCCCCAGCCCAACCCTGTGCCTCGGTTTCCCTCCTTGCCCGCACCGGCAGGTGAGATAGCGGCTGTCTGCAAAGCACCTGGAGTGCTGCTGGCAGGTTTTCCCTTACGGATTAACCCTTCCCAGGAAGGCCCTGCCTCGCGGTGCCGGTGGCCGTGCCAGCCGGAGGCGGATGGCGCGGGAAACTCACCCTTTGCCTCGCTGTCACCCAGGAGCCGTCACACGTCTCCTGGGCTGCTGCCTGACAGATGGCTTTGCTCTCAGCAGATGCTGCCAGCCCTTTCCGTGCAAGGACACCCCAATTCCCACCCCCCCCCCAGCTCCCGTTACTGTGGGGGGTTCACCCATTTTGTGGCTCGGAGGTGTGCGCCGCATTTGGGGCCAGGGGAGGGGAAATGGGGTTTGGGTGGAGGTGCCGTCCTGCAGCCCTGCCTGGCCGGGGGTCCCTGGGGGTGCTGAGCTCCAGGGAGCTGCCATGGCAGGTCTGTACCCGGACAGTGCCCAGATGGTGCCCACAGGGCCGGGATCAGCTCCGCGTGGCCCCCGTTCCAGCGCTGCGGCTCCCCGAGCCGCCCTTGGCTGCGGCGGGTGCTGTGTGCTCAGCATGGCTGAGCTAATCTATCGCCAAACAAACACACACTGTTATTCCGAAAGAAGGTTTCCAAGCGACTCATTTCCCTTTTTTTAATAACTCTTCCCTCTGGTGCCCTTTGCACCCTGAGCTGGGAGATTCAATAAGGCTGGAGCCTGGAGCGTGGCTGGCGCAGCCTCAGCGAGGAGGGGGAGCAGTGGTTGGGGAGGGGGGGCACCCAGGGGTGCCCCCCAGCCAGACCCACCCACCCCTGCGCTTCCCAGGGCTGTTCTGGCTCCAAGCCGGGTCCCCTTTTATTGCTTTTTCCCCTCTCCTCCTGTTTTTAATTGCCAGTTTTCCACCGGGGACTGGCAGGGGTGCCCGAGCCGGGATGGGGGGCGAGGGGAGCACTTCCCCCTGCAGGAGCAGCCCCCAGCTGAGCCCCCGCCACTAATCACACCCCTGCCAATTAACACTCACAGATTAATGACTTTGCACCCCCTTTCTGCATCCCCAGCCCCTCCTCTCCGGGAGCCAGAGTCCCCACAGCCGGTGGCCCAAGCGTGGGGTGAGGCTGCGCTGAGACCCTGCAGCAGGAGCCCCCCCTCCCCGCCCTGGCCGAGCTCCAGCCTCGCAGCCGAGCCTGGCTCAGCCTTCGCGCTCGGGCGCTGGAGGTAAATGGCCCAGGAAAGATGAAGCTTCCTCTCCCGCCGCTTGGATTGCTGCTGAAGGAATAATCACGTCCCCGCGCCCGTGTCCCCCCCCCCTCCCCACCTCCTCCTGCCTTTTTCCCTGTTGCAAAAGGAAAGTCATTGTGGAGGATCAGATCAGATCAGATCAGGGACAGGAGCTCCAGGGTCCCCCTCAGCCAGATCAATCCCCACCGCAGCCCACTGTGTGGGGACACAGACCCCCTGTGACCCCCGTGGCCATCAGGCCCCTGGGCTGGCCTTGCCTGGTGTCACAGTGGGTGTCACAGAGACCCTCTCGCTGTCCCCCCTGTCTCCCTGGAACGGGGCACCAGAGCCTCCACCCACGGTGGGCACCAGTCAGGGGCCGGCAGCCCAGGATGGGGGGTGGGTGCAAAGGGGGCTGAATCCAGCCCTGGGGGTCACCAGAGGGGTCCCAGGGCATGGTGGGCTGCAGGGACACGCTGTCCCCTGCTCCCAATGGAAACCATTGCCTGGTTGTGGAGGGTCATGGTCCTTGTGACCCCAGAGGAGCTGCAGCCACAGCAATGCCCTTGAGGGTCCCCAGCGCTCCTGGGGGTCCCTTGGAGGGTCTTCATTAACCTCCGCTGCCAGAGAGGTGTAGGGGGCTGCTCTGTCCTGACTGCTGCCCCCCACCCCCGGGGGAAACAGATCCCAGCTGGCCCTGGGAATGTTGGGGGGGGCCACGGGGATGGGGTCTCACTGAGGGGACAGCCTGGCATTCACCCCCTCTCTGGTGACCTTCTCATGGGCCCCATCTCATCCAGGGGGAAAGGGGGGGGGTGCTGGAAATGCAATTTATGATCCCTCCTGATACAATCTTATAAAATTTCCCGGGCACACTCGAAATTACATTTCCATAGCTCGGGAGCAGCGATCGCGGTGTGCGCCGATACCTGCC